AAATAACTTCAATAATTCTACCAAATAATAAGGTATAATGTGAAAACAAAATACAATTTCAGCATTAGCATTATCACATAAGAATAATGTATGTGCTGAGTGTTGGATAAAAATATTATATTGCTTGATATTCCACTTCACTTTGTTAATATATTTTTATTTTAGTATTGCAAATAAAGTTTTTTATTTACATTTTTAGAGCACTCTATATTATTAAGTTACTTCGTGTAGATGTTACAGAATTTGTGTCTCTATGTGAGTGTGTATGCGGTTTCCTAAGCTCTGTGGTACCTCCGTGCAATGAAAGGGGGTGACGCTCTTGGCAGGGGAGCAGTTGAATTCGAATTAAATTAAACTTGGCCCAAAGAGTATTGGTTATATAAAAACGTTATAAAAATACGTATAGTGAATTTCGTTCGAAGCTTTTTGACATGTTACAGCAAAGCGCTGAGACACGTATATCTTTATTTTAAGGGTACTTTCATTTTCTGTTAACATATCTCAAGTGCACCGACCATTGTCGTACTGACAACACAGTAGTTTAGTTTTACACAAGTTAGTAGTCGAAAAGTTGAATATTGTAAATTTTTTAAATAAAAACCAATTTTTTTATAATTAATACTTTTTTAAGCTCTGAGTAAGCTAATTATGAACCAAAATGAGCTTAGAAACATGATTTTTTAATTTGTTGAAAGCAGAAAATGAATTAAAATACTTTTCTAGATGAACGCTTTAGTCGCACTATCAATGAAAATAGGATCAAATATGTTGTCATATATATTTTAAAAAGATTTACTAGTTATAGACTACACTCTTAAAACGTATGAGACGATGCTCTTGAAGAGTGAGGTACTATGCCACCGTGAATTTTGTTCAATGATGCACATTGAAAAGTAAAATCGTCCTTTCAAAATTAAGTTCATAGTTTTTGGTAAAGAGATGTGTTGTGGAGGGATCTAACAGAACCTCTTCCAACTTGTGCGCGAATACAATGTAATTCAGCTGAATCCGTTCAAGCAAGGGTGATCTCTTCAGGTGTCATCCGGCAGTCTTTAGCAAAAATGCAAATTAGTTAGTTCAGTATTCAAACCTCTTAAATTTTCGCAGTAGAAGCTAAAATTAGATTTCAAGCTAAGCTTTTTGGAACGTTACTTTGAGCGGAATTAGCGCCAGTTGGATTTCATAAGCACCAGAATATTAAAAAGAACTGTTAAGCATGGGTTAAATATGTTCCGAATTGGTATAATTTTTAAGAAATGAAACACACATTTCATAATAAAATATATCTTTGATCATTTATAATAGTTGACGCTTTATGACGGCTGACCAATAATGTAGTTTATTCTATGCCGCTTTCAAAGTACTGATTTTCATTAAGTGGGTTAGCATTCCCTGTTGAGGGGAAGTGGAAAGAAAGTATTACAATTATTTAAATTAGCTTTCTGTTATTTTGGATGTTGGTTGGGTGAAGATTCGAACCAGCGTATTACAGTACAAACTGTTAACCAAGCAGGTATTACATTTAATTTATTTTAAACTAATATTGCTAGAAAAACTTGGGTTAATTTGATTGTTTCATTTAATTTAATTTGACATTAAGTTTTTAATTTTGCTAACATAGCTTAAGTTAATTGTAAATATTTTAGTTTACTTTTTTAAAATAACATAAATAAAGGAACTAAAATTAAATAAAAAAATAAAATTTAAAAAAAAACAAAAGAAAATTTATGAATGTGGGTGATTTTATTTGGAAAGCGATGGAAAAGACGTTCCATTAACTGACCATGAAGAAGATCGAATAGCAATCGCCCGCTTAAAAAAACAACATAGCGCAGGGAGCTGACGGCCTACCGGCAGAGCTATTCAAAAATGGCAGAGAATTGCTGACAAGGTGCATACATCAGCTACTTTGCAGAATATGGTCGGGCGAAAGTATGCCGCTATGTCTGAATTTGGTAAGGCCGCAAAACGTATACGGCTATGTTAGCTGACGCTAGAAAACGCCAGAAGCGCAGTCAGAATTGGGAAAGACCTCTCCGAGCCGTTCGATACCAAACGAGGTTTCAGACAGGGTGACTCCTTATCGTGTGATTTCTTCGATTTGATGCTGGAGAGAATAATAAGAGCTGCAGAGCTGAATAGAGAAGGTGCAATCTTCTATAAGAGTGTACAACTACTGGCGTCGCACATAATATTGACATTATTGGCCTCAACAACCGCGGTGTTAGTTCTGTTTTCTCCAGGCTTGATAAAGAAGCAAGGCAAGGCCAAAATCGCGTAAGCGCAATTCAAAGTATTCGTATTTACATTACACGCATGCTATAGTTATCGACTTATTATATCTTATGCTTATATACTTCGTCCTGGCATGATGTACCGGATTCCTTACTAAATGTAGTGTAGTCATGTCATCACTTTTATAATGGCGTTGAACTTCCAGCAGTGACACATCTAATGAAGATGATAGCTGCCCTCGAATTATTATTATTGATTCAAAGGATTACCTTCTGTATCTTGCTTATATAAGCGTGACTGAACCCAACTCTTCTAATTAGAGTTCCATTATCTTCCTGACTGCTTCAAACCGTAAATTGCCTTGTTTAGTTTCCAAATTTTTGCTATTTATTTCCAACAGCGTAACCTTTTGTCTGTCATCACCGCTGCTGACGATTGCTTCACTATGTTCTGCAGGAACAGGCTTTCACCCGTGAATCAACTTCAACCCAATTTGACTCGTGAAATATAACGTTACGCATTTCCAAAACTTGGCGTGTACCACCTGCACACTTTGATACCATCGAGAATTCAACAATTCGATACTGCTTGCCTTTGGCTTTAAACTTCCTGTGCAGCATTTTGTCTAACGCCACTGATTTTGAACCATCGAGTGATGCTATTTCAAACGACCCACTTATGTAATCCAACATATTATTCCGTCGCACTGTGGTTCTGTGTGAGTTTTGCTTGTCATACCTTCTCTAATCCGTTCACAATCGGCCTATTTCACATTTCAGCCAAACTGAGAAAATTGATAAGGCCATACCAATTACGCCAAATCACCGCATCACACTGCAACGTTCCAAAGCAACCAATGCTCTCGTCGTCGAGCATATACTCGTATAACTTGTTGGCCTTACCTGCACGCAGAATATCAACGTATTGCTTCTTAACGGTCTTATACTTACTGTCGCTCATCACTGCGCAACCGCTATTGGCGGCACAACCAACTAAGAAGAAGTTACCTCTCATACCAGGAACATACAAAACGTCTCTTAACATATATGCATACATGTTGGCACGTATTATGAGGTACCCCCGCACCGTCGTCAATCATCATTTCGTTCAGTTAAACAATTCACAAGATAATGGCAACTTGCTCCCGATTTGGCGCTATTTATACCTCCGCTAACTTGTCTATAATCGGCATAAACACATTTACGTATGTACAATATATATGCAATAATATTTTCACCTTTGGTCATGCGAAGACTTACCAGCTTTTTTCATAGCGAAGCCTTCCTTTTCAGACCACTTGGCACGTAGCTGTATATATATACATATATATATAACTAACGTTAGAATTATCAGTTTTAAGCCAAATATGCATTGTTATCCTCGATAACATTTAGACAATTTTAAGGTAACGTTATTATGCCCTTTTCATAAAAACCCTTGTCCCTATTAGCAAAATTTTGGGACAATCGATTTTCACAGACTTCACTTGAAGCCAATTCAAACACATTTTCCATGGTGAACGTCCAAGCATAGAATTTTCGCTCTCATATAAATTAATTTTATTTTGTTGACCGGGCTATGATCTTTCGAGTGATAGTACAATTGCTAACCCTTCGGCTACTGCTACCCACGTAACACTCTATTAAAATAATAAAATATGTTTATATCTAAGTATTTAGATTATAAAAATTAATAGAAATGTGTTAGTCTAAATTTATATTAACAGGCCTATTCTGTCGAGGTAACAAAATTTACCTAGGTATTAAAATCTACCATTCAGTAAATTTTGCTACCTTTTCGTATTCTGAGTTCACTGTTACCCTGTAAATTTTGTTACCAGCGAAATAGGAGGTAACAAAAATATCTGATGTTTGATTTTGTGTTGTAAGTTTGAGAAAAAATAAAAAACCAAAATGGGTAGGCATATTTTAGACCTGGAATTCATTAAAGAAGAAGAAATAAGTGCAAAAAGCCGTAATTTAAGAAGTTTCCGAGACTAAAAAATAGCCCTTTAATTTGTAAGATAACGTTTTCATTCAGCTTTTTTTTGTTGTCCAGGCATATTTTCCAAAATAAGGTTCAAATATTATGATTTAATAAATACATAACTTATTTATTTTGAAGTGCACTGTCTTCCATTTCTATGTGAATATTTTTCTTTTTACTTTATCAACTGGCAAAAGTAATTTGACATGAACGAAAAAAGCAGTGCTGCCAAATTTTTTTCAAACATTGTAACCAGTTCGCCAGAATACCAAATTCAATTTCGGGTGTTAAAGAAAAGTAACAAAATTTACTTTACTGGTAACAGCGAGAATAAGTCTGTAAATCTAAATTTATTACAGATGGAAAAAAATTAGAGTATATTAATTTAACAAAACATTTTCATCTCAACGTACAAAACTAAAGATGTAGGCTATGTATTATTTTACCTTGTTCTGCTATATTTTTAACCATATATATTTTTTTTTTTGAGTTTTATTTTAGTATTTTATATTATTATATATTTTTTAATATCCTTCTATTTATTTTGTGTTTGAAAATATTTATATTTGAAACATTGGCTCCTCTTCAGAATGTAAGGATTTTATGTATTAAGGCCTTAAAATTTCAACAAATTTTATTTGGGGTATTTGAATTCTAATCGAATAATTAGTTTATTCAAAAGTTTTATAGACTTTAATAACACTTTATTCCAATTTTTCTTATTACTTTCAAAAGTAGCTGCAACAAAAACTAAAATTACTCACTGAATTACGGGAATTTCAAAACGAATTCGACCCACTATGCTGTAAAGAGCTCGATTGTGCAATTTGTGAGACCAGAAAATGTGAGACCAGAAAAATCAACCAAATCGAATATAAAATTATTTTATATTCATAAAAGGGAAATATATGCTCAATAAAACACTATTTATGGGAATATTGAAAAAAAGTCTCGGAAAAATAATAGCTGAAGGAAGCGTAAAAATGCAATTTATATGACTTACTTACTCCGATGAGCCTCTAAATCCCCTTTGAAATAATCTTTTTGGGCATCACAAACTCATTTTGAACTCAGACGATTCGCGTCTTTACCTGACACATGAGTGTTTTTGCCCCGGCAAAAGCCACACTGGGTCAAATAGCACAGCAACAGTTGCTTGGCACGCTCACACACTGTGACGACAGTGGCGGAGTAGACAGCGGCGCTACCAACAGCATCACGGGTATTGCATTTGGGAAAATATAAAATAGCGACAAGGGACACGGGAGCAGAAGAAAAATATTTATACACACTTAAGAGACTAGATAAATGAAAACGCCGCAAGGACGGTGAGGACGTCAAGTAGTGCAGCTACCTTTGGTGACTACATAGTAACACCAGCAGCTGTTCTAACATTAGTCCCAGCCGAAGTCTTGAGAACAGATTCTGCTGAACTAGCGGAATCTATAGTTGCGCAAGTAGTATCGCACACTGTGTTGATAAGCAAACAGCATACTGAGCTGAAACAGCAACAGCGGTGGTAGCTAACGATAGTGTCATTGCAAGGACCGACGCCAAAAGTATCCTCGATTGGAAAGGCCTTGCTACCGTATACACTCAAAATACCGCCGGTGGCGCCCACTTTGGCAGCTGCTCTGCACGCGCAAATGACGACGGCAGTACAGCAACAGCAACAACAACAATTACAACATCAATTGCATCAGCAACATTCAGTGTATACCTATCCATACCATCATCATTCCCATCAACACTCGCATCTACTGTCTCACCTGCAACACCAGGACGTGTTTCCGTTTCAAAACGAACTTCAACAGCAGCAAGAGAGCGAGCAACAGCGCCAGCTACGGCGCTCGCAACCTTTCAAAATGAATGCGGAGTTTTGGCAACAACCGCGCGGATCATTCGATCTACATGCAGCAGCGGCGCTCGCTACGAATCAGTTGCATCATCAACATCATCAACACCACCAACAACAGCAGCCGTCTCACTCACCATTGCCGCAACACCTGTCGCAATCGTTACAAATAAATCATAACCAACAACCAACCCACTTGACTGGCTTAGCTGCCACGCATCAAGAGCAACAGCAGCAGCAACCGGCAACATCAATACTACCGCTATCATCGCAAGAACAGCACCAGCAAAACCATCATCTTCTATTCAATGCCGCAGCTGCAGCAGCTGCGGCAGTACATCTGAGTGGCGTGGTAAAGTCCAACGAACTGCAAAACGCCGCCAACAATATCACCGCGACAGAAGATGCCGTAACTGTTGGAAACATTTGTGGCAGTGGCAATGGCGGAAACGGTGATGGTGATCAAAGTGAGCACAGTGCGCCGACAAGTACTGGACGACTTGGTATTAGCGTCAAACAAGAAGTGCAAGCATCAGCTGCTGCAGCGAACAATCAAAATCCACAGCAACAACTGCTGCCAAAGTTCCAGCCAAACGTACCCAATGCCTTCGATGTGTTGCACCTGCAGCTGCAGCAGCAATTACAACAACAGCAACATGAGTCGGCATCAGGTGAAGATGGGGTCGAGGAAACTGATGAATTTAACAATCAGCTGAAAAGGCACCAAGTGAGTGAGTTGAGCGGCATCACTCATACTAGCCAACAACCGCATCATGTGCCTCCCCATCATCCCCAAGCACAGCCGCATCACAATACACATCCGCACCATCATCAGCAGCCACCAACATCGTCACACTCTCAACATTTACAACCATCAAATGGGCAAAAACAGCAGCATGACTTGGGTGGTGCTGGGCCAAGCAGTCCGTTGCGCATAAACAGCATTGGTGATAATGTGCTGGCACCACTTCTTTCGCCGCAACAATCACTGACGCCGTCTGGTGACAGTTCAGCACCCGACACCAAGTACAATAGCGAGAAGCTGGTCAATGAGATCCAGGTGCGTATGCTCGTTTAACATATGTTTCACACATTGCATATGATATATGCATTTATTATTGTATATTAAAACATATCAAGAAAGAAGATTATTTCGGTAACCGATCATTTATGGCATTAGAAGAAATGAACGTAGTTTGGAATACCACGATCATGACTCGATCATTAAGCTTTTCTGTTCATCCAGTAGCATCATTTCTTCTTTTTTACCTTTATTTCGGTTTCTGCCGCAAACCAATATCCTATTAGACAGTGGTCTACCCATACTCATATTTCTGTGCTTCGGTAGACCTCTTTTGATCCCATTTCGGTCAAGTTTGTCTAGATTAATGCAAGATATTGTGTTATTTCATCTTAGTTTTTGTGGAGAAATCTCCTTTTTTACGCCCTAACTGGCGAGCCCGTTTTCCATACAGTTTCACTCCCTGGTCTTATCGAAAGAAAATCTGAGATTGTCCTTCAGATATTGGCGATAGTCCAGCACAATTTGCATCCAGACCAAAAATAGTGGGAAAAAATGTTTACGCAAATTCCCACTTTAATTACATCTGACTTTTTTAATATGAGCTGGGAAGTTGACTTTCTGCGCACCATATGGTTCAAGTAGTTATTATTTACATTACCGCTAACATTAACATTGGTTGGTTGCAGACCTTAAGAAATATGTTAAATTGAAATGAAAAAAAAAAAATGAACAACATCCACATTCCACTGAGTAATATATTCCACAACTGCTTTACTGTGAATTCCAGCCAATTTTCTCCTCCAGCTGTCGTTATGTGGCTTTATACATGCCAAAGAGTTTACATACATTTATATAAAAATGCATCCCTGTAAATGTGTATGTATGTTAAACTAGACTTCCGCTTGTATCATTTGATGTTACCCTTCAAAGTAAATGTTGATTCACATAAAAATGATTAGCCTTACTTAACAGATGAAACTCTAACTAAAGACCAGAACAAACTGATTATATGCCACAACGAAAGCTTTAACGCAGATTTTGTATTTTTGTGATTTAATATTATTGCAAGAAAATATAAAATTTTATTTTATCGGTATTGAATAAATTATTGAGTTATTTTTACTTTTCTGTGAAGCTTAAATATGATGTTTTGCGTACGAGAATCGATACTGCGTAAAAAAATCGAATGTTGGCCAAAAATTTTTGAAATTGTTTCGGCTCTCCTCAATTACTTCCTATTTACTCATCTGAACACTCGAACGAATCGATCAAAACACAACTCTGACGAAAAGCGAAAGGAGACTCTTATGCTAATCAGCTTTAACAGTTGAAAGCGCTCTTTTAAATCTATAACAGCCCTTTTTTAATATTAAAAGAATATTTTAATTGATTACCAATTTATTTTTATTTGTTTTTGAAATTCTCACAAGCATTTTTATTTTTGGCTTCGATTTCTTTTAGTTTTTCTGATTAATCGAAAACATTTGTGGAGAAGAATAAAGGAAGCAAAATTAATAGCTTAAAAATTAATATATATAAATATATCGCAACTTTATTTTATTTATTTATTTTTTTTTATCTAGGTTATACAAAAACATTTTCAGATTAAAGTTTGGAATTTTCAATGGAACCAAAAGAGCACGTTTATTTGGTAATGTTAAAACTCAGGAATATTACTCACCTTACATCATTCCAAACTCTTAAAGTGTTACTCCACTCGCCTTCGCTCTATTAGTGTGAACTTTATTTGTATAGAGCCTTTTTTGATTTTAACTCCAAAGATGACGATTACCTAGCAGAAGGATGTATTTGTGAAACTCCAATATTATAAAATTAACATTAAAAAACTGTAATTTAATAGTTTATGACCGATTGATTGATTGAGTCTATAACCGATTGATTTGTGTACTACTTTTCCATTTTGCAAAACTTCCATTTCAAAGAATTCATGGTAATTTGATTATCCTTTTGTACATAATTACAGTTTTTTCTACATACATAACATACATGCACATACATTTGTAGGTATACACAAGTGAAATTTGTTAAGATACTTGTTGACATTTCTAATGACTGCCAGGTCTGCTTTTCTAAATTTTTCAGCATTTTTTTAATTGTCAGGTTTTTTTATTTATTGTGCGATGTGTACATATATATAATTCATCCTAGTCTTATCAATTCTTCGTTGCCAAATGTTGGGAATATAGCTAGTAATAATTAAATTTATTTTACATAGCTCGTGTTCAGTATTATATTATATAACAAAATATCTAATGGGCAACGTACGCAAAAAGATAAAAGATTATGTTTTTTTTTTGCATAGTGATTTACTGAATCTTTTCTTAATGGAAAGTAACAATAATTTCGAAAATCTTAAAGCTGTTTTATTGTGTTTTATTTTTTAAAATATTCAGTCAAAAAAACCAAAAGGTCACATTAACTAACGCAATCTTATTGAAATGAATAAAGCTACTGTATAACGAATAAAGATTTTGTTTAAGTATTTACACTGCGAACACAATTTCATGTGCAGAGTCCCACAAAATATTACAGGAGGGTTATTACAACGAGACAATTTCGGATCCCTACGATAACGTAGTATTTCATAAGACAATCATTTTGAACAGACTTCTGGCCATAAATCCAAAACCTTCAGTACCACTATGCGGCACCCGTTTTTAGTTAATGTTGTCGTTGCGTATCCCTGCTCCGAAGGCGACCCAATAAAGTCTTTGATATGAACTTATAAAAGTTATGTCACATCTCGATTTCCATTGTAAATGTTCTCTTTTATTGCTCCAAGAAATGATGTCCTGGTTTTTCCCATTGTAAGGACAAGAATGCCCAACAAAATATGAAAATAAGAACAAGTAAGTGCATAGTTCTTCTATTCTTCTTGTTTCCGGCAGTTAAATAAACAGAACTCAGAAACCACCATGCCGAATGGCGTCGCCCGAAAGGGGTATGTATGTAACTACAAAATCGAAAGGGCGAAATAGTGAACAGATTGAAATGTCGTATAAAGATGTTTATGATTAAGAAGAAAAAAATGAACAAAATTTAAAAAATACTTATGTATTTGTATATGATAGACATATATGCATATAAAATCTGCTTATGTATATAAAAATATATACAACAGTTTAAGTGTAGTTGTAGTTGTATTTTTGGTGGTGGCAACTTTGATGTCACTCTGCAGTTAGGCACACTTCAAGAAAGATAACAGACCGCTAAAGTAGAATATGTGTGTATATGTTGTTTTATGTATTGTATATATACATATATATATCTCCTCTAACGATGTCATTAATATTGCTGCGCGATGTGCACATATGTTGGTGCGAACACACACACTAACTGACTCTTATAAGTATGTAAGCGCAAGTAGCCGGTTTGTTGATAAAAATTTGGAATAATGCATGCCAACGGTAGGTACGGTACGTCTTCGGTATGAATATAATCGAATACATGGATATGTTTGTATTTGCACATGTAGAAGCGACTGGAGAAAAATCCTACTAAGCAGCAAACAAACACGTGCAACACAATTTACATGTAGATGTGAATAAGCCACCACAGTGGGGCTGTAATGTTACAGAGCAGACGCTGCAAGTAGATTTCCCCTCTTATTGTACCGATTTGATTTGGCTCCTTAAGCCAAATTCACCCGGCTTTGTTCGCAACATTAAGAGCAGCAGTCTTTTAGAGAAGCTTCTACATTTTTACTCTCATACATGCAAATATCCTATTCTGTGCTCATTATATTATTAGATGAAATGAAGAAATTCAAAAAGAAAAGTGCAGCACGTCTTAGAGCGAGTGCTTCGTTACCTTTAAGAGCGGTGCAGTCGACAATAAAGGCGCTGCCAGCTGCTACAGCGACGGCAACAGCAGTATCGATACTAAAAAATCCACTCATATTTGTACCATCGAACCCTCAGGGGTAACTTCAATGTCGTGCTAATAGTATTAGTTTGGTGGTGCGTGTTTTATTTCATTGAGTGATTGCGTGGTTGGTCGGCCGGTTGGTCTGTTGGTCGGTCAATCCACTGCTTGTCGCTAAGCATTTGTAATAAAAGCAAAACGACAATAGTAACAGAAGTAGAAAAGACAAAATCAAAAAAATGAGCAGGAAAAAATGCGTGGCTTTGATTGTGCAGCTCTTCGAAAATCGTGGTCTGCAACTGGCGGTCGTGGATGGAGGGCTGAGACATCCTGAGAGCATAAGAGCAGCAATGTATCCTTAATATATTTCAACGTCTTGGCACAGCGCACGGCATGCACATAAACGGTAGGGAACTGCGAACAGATAAAAAGTAATAATAAAATGTTTTTTTTTCGCACCACACTTATTCTAATAGCTAAATAAATTTTTGTAAACTACAAGGCAAAGCTGGTGCTATCGTTAGTGGTGTTGGTATAAACGGGTGGTGGTGTTTTTGGCGTTTATTTTTGTTTTTGCAGCGCGATGCTTGATTGTTAACGACGCATCAAGCTTGTAGTAGCTAACTAACCTTGTCTTGTTTAACTTCATACTAGTTAAGTTGAATTTAGCGCATCCCAACCCCTCTACAACAGCCGCCGCCATCAACAGCGTCCCGCATCAAGTGTTCCCTGCTACCGTAGCTGCGCAGCTGTGGCCGTCGCTGCCACCAAGTTAGTAGCGCCGTTCAGTTGAGGTGTACTTACCAAACGCTCGGCCCAAGTAAAGTTCAAACAAATTATATCTGCAAAAAAATTAAAAGTTAAAACTGAAAAGAAATGGCAATGGCGTAGCTTTGCGCTGTGCGTCTTCTTGGAAGTTTTTTCTTTTTCGTCGCGTTGCGATTTCTTGGCCAATGACAAGTACAAAGTCTTATTAGTGGCCGTTCATCTTCAGTAAAACATAATTTCTTTTCTTAGCTAACTTTCAAATTCGTGCCAGCCACACAACTAGACGGACACGCTCGCGTAAACATTAACAACTGCACTCTTTATTACAATACAAAATTAACAAACTGGAAGCTTAGAAAACCAGGCGTGTTGTTTTGATAAAA